CGGCAGTAGCGTCAAGAGCGTCGCCGCGACCTCAGAGGCTTGCCGGTGGAGATCCGGGCCGGCGCGGGTCCAAACCTTTTCCTCGGCCGGACGGAGTAATCCCGACGGGAAACCGCGACTGAATGAACTGGGTTCCATCAAAAGACGTTCTCGAAGCGCCCCGTAGAAAGCGCGTACTCGATCCGGCGTAAGCTGAGTAAGATATGGAGGAAAGCGAGCCTCTAGAATCGCTGTCAAATCGCTTTCACGCAGCGGTATTGTCAGTGAAGAGGTGGAAGCTACATTGCCTGCGACACTAGCCAATCGAGCGGCTATCGTAATAGGGATAAAGAAATTAGATATTGGAAGACCCGGCCAAAACACAAACTCCGGGGTGGCACTGCTTCCGTTGAGCATCCCTAAATTCGCTTCGGATGCGGCCTTTGAATTCGTACTGAAGCGTTGTATGCCCTCCTCGTGAGTGGGTATCGCCAGCCTTCTCTGCGTTCTATGCAATGTGGTGGCAAGAAAGGAGGAACCAGCAACCCCCTGAGGTTCACTCACCATGGCCCCTTTAAACGATGGATTCCTCAAATCAACATGATCCCATGTCTCTTGGGCGGCAAACGGCACCAACGCTGTGGGGTTGTAGTTTTGGAAAAAATACTCGGGCTGATGGGATGGGTTGCCTATCCTAGATTGACATGCCCGGTCTAACGATACAGAAACTTTCGTGCCTTTGCCACACGACTCGGCATCTTGAGCAAACTGTTCCACCTTCTCTGTGTGTGGTAAATGTAGCACCTGTGTGGGAAAACCAGTCGAGACATTTCCAGATAATGATGCATCCTTGCAAAACACGCCTAAAGCTCGGTCGTACGGTTTACGGTGTACAACACTTGGCATTTCGGTCGTATTTAAAATCCTTTTCTCAGCCTCTTCCGGCTGGTTTGCCGTGTGCAAAAACGGCAGGTCAGGTAAGGTTGTCTGTAGCGGTCGATGTTCATAGTTGCTGATGATGGAGTATGGCAGATATGTGGAATCACCACCACTAACAACGTAACTATCACCCATTTCAGGGCACCTACTCCCCCCTGTGCATAATGAGTGGATCGTTTCAAGAAAAGGAGCGGTGGAAAAAGGCAAAGGAGGTCGTTGCTTCCTCTGACTATGTGCTTCAACGGGTTTGGCTTCATTTTCCATGTTGGAATATGGCACAGTAAATGAAACTCCCGTGGCCGCGGCTGTAGTGATATCATTTCCCGAATGGATTAAGTTGTCATCAACCTCCCCCACTGCCGACGAAGGGTTATGTGTATCAGCGCCGAAACTCGTTCCCGAGCATGAATACAATGAAGAATTTGCCAACTGAGCCTCGACGCGAGTTTCGAGCATAGGCATAGGTACTTTGTCAGCTATGTGTATACACGTTTCCTCTTCATCGAAATGGCAGCCTTCACTTTGGTAAGTATTTTGTTTAGGAATATCAAATTCACTTAGTTCTTTATCCGTATTGGAATATTGGTGAGGCTGATGTCCCTTGTTCAAAAAAAGTGCATCCTTATCGTTGACAATACAAGTATCCCGCTCAGTCTTCTCTGAAATTATCTGAGTTGTTCTTGTATCAGAAACCAAATTTGCTGTCGATGATGTGTTCTTGCTAGGATTAAATGCCTCCACACGAGATGCAATAATCTGCAGTTTGGAAACTAAGCTGTCAACTGAAAGGGCGTGATTCACATAACTGATTTCTTCAGCTACAAGAAGGTAATAAGCACGAGCGAAGTTCTCCTGAAGTTCTTGTTCTAGAAGTTTGAATTGTAGCCTTGTAGAAACTGTTGAAGATGCACCAACCATGATGTTAAACTAGATTATAACTTTCAATAATAAGATTTATATCTCTATGTGAAAATAATTACAGAATAACAAAAATCAAGATTATTGTGGAAAATTACCCTTGACCTTCGCATAGAGCTTCAAAATAAGGTAAAGACTAGAGCTCGAATCCGAAAGACTTTTAAAAAACAACCCAATTTGTATTAAAAATTGTAATGTAAAAAAAAGGTTTTGATCGCTTTATCGTGTTTCAGGAAAAGAACATGGTTTTCGCTTAACCACACAGCACTCCTACGAAAGAATAGAAATACTGAATGAGACAAGGATTTAGAACCATGAAGCTCTATACCTAAACGAAACGACCGATAGTAAACATAAAAATTTTACACTTTAATCATCGCTCAAAATACAATGGTAAACTATTATCCTAAAAAAGGTTAGAAACAAAAATGCATTTTGCTAAGTTTCAGTATTTATGACAATACTATAATCTTGTTGCTTTAGGACTATCCCTATAATATACTACTGTGTTGCAAGATTAGTTGAAAAAGGACATATTACTATCCCTTTAGTTTTTCACATAATCATGCTTACCACATTGACCATAAAGCTTCCATTGGTAAAAAATGTCAACACTGATATTAATAAAGTTTCCAATAAATTCGCAAAAATATAACAATAAGTGCATAAAAGTATTTAATATGTGTGCGTCGTGTGTATATTCCCACGTCACTCGAATAGCATGATTTGATATCGGACAGAAAAACAGAAGAATATAAAAGAGAGAAAAGGGATCAGTAATTATCATTAATTTCATCTGTATTCCTTTTTTCCCTTTTTGCGCCTTCTCAGTAAAAAAAAATAATGAAGTAATGATCTTGGAATAATGTAAAAAAGTGTTGAATACATTCTAAATCATATCTACCTACTGAATTGCATTTTTCGGGCACTGTACCTTGGGATATTTCGCATTCCAGGTTTGTGCATCCACTTGTGAGTAGTCCCAGTGCTTCGCGCACTCCTTCGCCCACCAAACCCGCCGCATCATTGAGGTTTCTGTATTACTGGCCACATCTTCATACAAAATACGAGCTGATCCAATACCAATACAGAAGCCAAGGATCGTAAAGCCGCTAAATGTAGAAAAGAGAACAAAAATGGTGTTCTTTCGAAGTAGGGAGGTGTACATCGATCCAAGTACTGTTGAAAGCGCCCCAACAGAAAGGGAAAAGGTTAGCTGACGGCGCCGCTGTCGCATTTGTTGACCCCACACACCACCTTCTACCTCAAAGCGTAAAAAATCTTTAGGCCACATCATGGGTAAATCAGCCACAAGAATTTTATCGTTTTTGTTTTGTGACGCCATTTTCTCTTTTGGATCGAGAAGAGAAGTATTCAGTGATTTTTTTTTTGAAGAAGGAGGAGTTGTTTATAATAGTTTTGTTCACACAAAATGTGCAAAAAAAGTGAAATTATGCGCTAAAATTATTATACGCTTCAATTGAAAAATGATCAGGTTTATGATGTCGACTAGCACATTACAGTTTTTCCTTGTTTGAATATTTTGTGAGAGAAGCAAGAGTTGGAAAAGTAGTGTATTTGGAGGAAAAATGCTGTCTTTTAGTCTAGAAAAAAAACACCCAATCTATATAATGCAGCGCTTGTTTCAAAAATAATCAATACATGCACTAAATCAACTTTGGACCTTAAGAATATTACGCGGAGCTTTTAGTAAAACATTCCAAACACACATAAATAAAAAATTTATCCTTCTATATCGACTTAATCTGTCTTCCAGATAAGAGCATCTATTTATGTAAACATTGCCTTTGCTATTGTTATGACTACTAGCATTTTGTTTCTCACCTCACTATTAGATCTTGCAAAGGTGGTGAATCCATATCCTGAACATCTCACGTATGTCTTCACCTTCCCTCTCTTAGTAGAAACTTCAGAAAATCAACTCAATGGTTGAAGCAACTAGCCCCGGGTGTGCTAATAAAAAAAAAGTTAAGTATCTTCTTATTTATTTATCATTCTTTATAAATTAATGTCGATGCGAGGAACGCACAGGACTTCGACTGCGGTTTGAGCGGCGCTGATGACGATGAGAATGTGGACTACGGCTTCGACTGCGGCTGCGACTTTGGCTGCTCCGTCGCTGTTGGTGTCTCCGGCGATAGGAACGGTCACGTGAGTGAGAACGGGAGCGGGAGCGAGAGCGGGAGCGCAAGTGGCGGCGGCGGTGGTGGTGATCCCGGAAATCCAATTCACCCCGATCCTCTCTCAATCGGTAACGGTTATGCGTCTCGTTGTCCAGTCGCCGCCTCTTCTTTTCCTCTCCGTAGGGGCCCATGGGAGGTCGGGAGTCGCAGCTCCGTGCCTTGTGTCCCCCCTTGCCACACTTGTGACAGACCGGTACGGTACCATTCCCCTTTGTAGGGCAGTGTGACGCGACATGGCCGTCTTGATTGCAGTGGAAACAAGTCTTGAACTCGCGGTGCTGGATTGTGAGCACGCTTCCACCCATCTCTTCACCAGTCTTAGCCACCGCCGCCATCACAGCGCTGGGTTCGGTGAAGTTCGCAAAGGCCATGCCTCTGGTAGGGTCCAGGTGAAGGTCACTCATCTCGCCACAGCCACTGAAAAAGATGCGGACAGCCCCTTCCGTGCAATCCGAAGGAAGTCCAAGTATAACCACACGGTTTGCACGATTTAATATGCGTTTGCGCTCTATGGTGATCAACTGGCCCTTTAGCCATGTCCCAGATTCCTTCAGAGCCGCTTCCATTGCCTCAGCAGTCGAAAAGCCAACAAAGGCATAATTTCGACGATGATCCAAGTAGAGGTCATTGATGTAGCCCTGGTCAGAGATAGATTTTGAAAAAAAAACGCGCAGATCATCTTCCATGGTCTGCGGGGAGAGCTTTGTGACACAGACCTTGTACATGTCCCGCAAATCCTTTATAGAACCACCTGTGTGGTATGCAGGCAATGATGCCTGTGGTATGCTCCGGCCGTTGGTGCTGTACCTGCCCTCACGAAGTCTCTCTTCTCGGCTTGATCTATAATACTCTCTCAGTGCGTACCTTTCACTGTTTTTAGAGTCCCCAGCTAACGCGGTGGCGTTCTGATTTAATTCGTTCGTAATTGGTAAGGACAAGGGGGGGGCTGCGGCAACTGTTACAGGGACTCCATCTCTGAACTCCACCCCATTCAAAGTTCCAATGGTCATATCCACACTGTCTCGGTCCGAAAAGGTGATGTAGGCCTCGGTGCCATTTGCTGTCTGCTCCACAGCCTCGACATTGCCGGTGCGAGAAAAGAAGTCACGTAGGGCATCATGCGTGGTATCAGGCATCAAGCCAGTAACCAAAACGCGGTGGGACATAGTGGCTGGTACTTTTCCAAAGTTGGTTCGCGGTTTATCTCTCTGTTTCGTAAGCCCTAATGGTGGATTATGCTTAATAGATTTATCTTAATTTAGCTTTATTCCGATAATATTGTAACAAAAAGACACTTTAAAATGCGCGACTCTTATATTAAATTCTCTCTACCGATCCAATGAGCGTGCGTAGGGGAGAGACAATGAAATAGAAATAACTCTGCAAATAGATTGCTTCCCTTTATACATTTAACTAACCCATCAATCTCATCGTACACTGAGGCAATCGGAGGCTGTGCATAGGAAAAGAAAGAGCTTCCACTACTCGGCTTTTCCTCTACTGGTCTCCATATGTGAAGCAGTGTTCACTTTTATATTCTCACGTTGCTACTTTGAAAGGCAGGCAATAAATTAAAAAAGCTTCGTGGAGTAAAATTTGTCAAACGAGCGCCCATGCCTCGCTAGTATTTCATCTCTTCCTTCCTTCTTCCACTACAATACCATCACTACATTGATATATTGAGACCAAAGAATGGCTTAGAGGCGGTAAAATCAGTATAATGAATAGTAAAGCCTAGGAAAATTAAGGTTCGCATCGGATTTATATATAGCTATAATGATTTACTTTGCTTTTGAATTCATTTTCAGAAGGTTCCTGCACTACTATATTTGTGAATATACACCATGGGAGTTAGTAAAATGCTAGAACAACCCTAAGGGCATTCATAAAATACTTAATAAATTCCAAACTCGATCATTTTTATCCTTATAATAGGACTAGTATTGTTGTATTTACAGCTGTCATAATCCTCAAAAAATTCAAAACAGTTACACGTAAAAAAGTGCGTTCAACAAAAATATCAGATCAGTAATATATAAAAGTTTGAATTTTGATGAATTCATCACGTGGAAATACATATAAAGAAAAAAGACGATGTTAAAATGTGCAAAATAAACTATAAAATACTACGGAAATTTTAAAAACTAGGTGATTAGTTTGTACTATACTCACTCAAGGACCTAATATTTATAAGTCCCTCCATGTAATTGTCGATCATATGCGTGTAGAACATAGGCCTCATTAAAAAAGCTTCATGCATGCTCTTATGTCCACGTGGTACCTCAAAAAAGCAGTTCTTCTTTGAATCACAGGGCGATGTCATTAAAAATATCCTTCCAGGATGGTAAAGTTCGTGTGTTGGATCTTCCTCAGAACGCTCGCTGTCCGGTTGATGACTCGATTCTTCACCATCCATTTTGGAAATGGTTGTATCAGAAGGAGGGGTGGGACCCTCCGCGGGGTCTTCCCTTCCTTTACAGATATCCCCTAATAGACGGTGTAAGCTGTTAATTTGCAGCCGCGGCACGATATCACAGCCGTTCACAACAGTCCATATAGGGAATAGGTAGTGAGCCTGGCCCTCGTCGAACCACCCAGCGGCGGGTAAAGTGAGCGTTGGCATTGGACCAAAACTAATGACGTGAATACGACGCAGAACACTGAGCGGAAAGAACCGCTCATAAGACAGTCGAATCGCAAAAAGGACGGCGACCCCGCCACCAAGGGAGTGTCCCGTGATGATGATTTTGTAGGATGGAAAGGTGTACGCCAGCTTCTCGAGGGTATCCAGGAGATCATCAGAGGTGTTGGGTTCCTCAAGTTGCGGCGCGCTTGGTCTACATTTGGCATTGTGATTGTTAGATGATGAAGGATCAGGGCTATTACTGATGAGTGAAAATATTTCATTCCTAACGCCGTCAGGTGAATCTCGGATACGCACTTCCTCTTCCATCTTCTCAGGAGATGGGCAATAGTCTTTGTCCGCATGCCCCGAAGTCGTCACGGTCCTTTTTGTACGTCGAATGCTTGCGCGTTGATTAAATAGTGCATTTACCGTACGAGCCGCACCTTGATGCGCTAATCCGCCGCAGAACGACTCCCCGAAGCCGCAAATATCAGTTAAGATATCCCCATCAGTCATTGTCCCGCGAAAGCTTAACACTATGCGGCGCTTAATGTGTTCAACAAGCACGGCATAGCTGACCTCGGTGGCGCGAGAGCTCCAGCGTGAGAGCTTGAGTGCGGAGGGTGGAAGATAGAGTATGTCGGTCACGGCCCGGTCCTTCACAGCCTTGGGGAGGCTTTCGACCTTTTCTTTGTGAATTGTGAAGGTCATCGCCACCCCAAGCATTGTGGAAAATGAACCGGTGTGGTACGGCACGCCGTAGACGGCGATTGCAAAACGCAGAATATCGTGTATCTGTTGAATTGCGGCATGATGAACCGCGGGGATGGCATTTTGCTCGCAAACTGAGGTCTTTAACAGTGGCATACCCTGTTTTTTGTCGTCCGTCGTGGGTGATGTTAACATGGCTTCAGCCGCTGGCACATCAACTACCGATAAGTCTTG